AATCTTAGAACCAACTTTTTTGTTTTAGATAAAATTTTAATTATGATGAAATATGGTATTTAAAAATCCACTTATTTTCCTTACATCTAATGATGGCCAGAACATTTGTAACATCTAGAGTAATATCCGCCAAATTAGCTACATAGAGCATATTTGCAGCATCCCTGCGATATACAGGGTGAATATAAAGTATGAAACCAAGCGGATTTATTTTTAATCATTTGCCTCCAGAAAATAATAATTAAGATAAATTAAAGTAATATAAAAAATGTGATCGTATTTTCAGAACGAAATTTTGTTTTATTTTTGAATTATGCGATTTTTTTTGTCAAAATTGCAATTTATGTGAAAAAAATTTTTTGAAAAAATTAAATATAAAGCAGATAGTTGTAATCCTTAGTGTATAGCTTTTATGAGAAAAATGATTTTATAGTGGGTTGCATTTTAAAAAAATAATATTTTTGGAGAACTCAAAAACAAAAGGAAATTTCGAAAAATTTTATTCTTGAAACCATCACATTTTTATAGTACTTTATCACTCATCAATTAGTTTTTTCAAAAAATAAATAGTTTAAGCAAAAAACGTTTGGTTCCATACTTTTTATTCACCTGGTATAAATAACCATCCAAGTGACATTTCCCCAAAAGAAATGTGAAACTTTAATTTGTATTTAATGAGAAAACTTAAAGGTTTGTCTCTAACAATTTTAAAAAAGTCGAGAGGTTAATAAACGTCGGTCTCGAAAAGAAAATGAATAATAAATTCGTTTATTGTATTAAAGAAATCGTTAAATCTTATATCTCGTTATTCTTTGTTCCGGAATTGTAATTGGGTTTCCACAAATAAATTGGACTTGATTATATCATGCGCTGCCGCATTATTGGAAGAGGTTATTAAAATTACTTTCAGGAGACATTCAGACCGAAAGAAAAATGCAAATTTTTTTATCATTTTGCCATGTTTCAACAGTTGAATTAAGTTACAAATCAAAACACGATCATTAAATTGCCAGACATTTTAATTCAATTTTCAATAAATAAATTATGAACCGTAATACATGCAAGTCGTTATACTTTTACAGGAAAACATAAATCGCAACATTTCATTTCAGATATAATTAATAAATGAAATTTTTAACAGTTTTCAGCACGCAATGATAAAATAAGATTTATTAATTTCTGTTCTATTACGAAGTTTTCACCCTAAATCCGTCGAATGGTGTTGGTAGAGTTGTTGCTAAATGTCCCAATTTACTTTTAAAATTTATGTAAATGTCCCGGTTTATGTAGAAGAAAAATTAGCACAACAAGTACTCATTTGTCCGATTATTTCCACAAAAACCGTTCTAATGTCACGAAAGGGTGAAAAGATTAAAACTTTATAGTTAGCAAGTAAATGTGAGCTGAAACTGTTAAAAATAAAAGTATTTCCGCAGTCTGCCGTAAACTAAACACGTCATCACGGTTATGCAAATGATTCGGTTGTCCTGCATTTCACAGTTTAAAAAATAGCTTGGTATTTCCACTCCCAATTCAAATAATAATTAAAATCTTAATTAATGGCTAGCGAATAGGAGTAATTGTTTATTTTCGTGTCTCAAACAATTGTCAAACATTATTACGTCCATATCTGACTGAAAAATCATCATAATTGATTTTTGCACACGAACAGTCGTTAAGTATAAAGTTTATTAAAAAGCCATTACGGAGGTGTTCAGTAATTTAGGGTCGACCGCCCGGTCAAGAATGTCAGTTGACGTAATTGGAAAATGAGGAAGGGCACATTAAAGTGAGTTACATGTCCATCCAATCATGTAGTAATCCCAAGGGATAAGAAGTTGCGAAACCCTTTGCGTGATATTCCTTAGCATCAAACCGAACTTATATTAAAGAAGTTTACTCAAATTATTCCTCAGATGCTCTCTTCACTAAGCAGTTGGGAAGAAATTAATTTCGTTGCTTTAAACTTTTATGGACATTATAGTTCCGGAGATTCGGTTAACTCCAACCAGATTAGTTTTTCCCATTTAAACGCGATTCACGTAATGTAATAGACGCTTACTTCTTAGTTAATAAGAAACACGGTTTTCCTCCTCCTTATTGACTAGCCCTTGGAAAAAACAACATTTTTATGGGCATAACCTCAAATAAATCAGTCGTTATTAGCTTGTATGAGTTTCCAGATACAAGACATAGGCTTTTAATTAAAATTCGTGTCCCGCTTCTGTAAGTACATTACGTGGTTTTAACTCGCCATTATTTTCAAAAATATATATCTTTTACGAATGTAACTGAAACTCAGATCTTTCCGGAAATTAAAGCAAATTTCAGTTACATAGCTTACGTCTTCTTAGGAGATACTTTTCCTTATTCGAGGAAAAATCCTCGGTCGTTATTTCCTCATAATTGTTCGTCGACCAAAATAAAACGTCAGTTTAAACATGGCCCATTTCTTTATAAATCAGTAATACTTACTTAACGTAAACACACGAGCAAAAAGGAAAATCTTGTATCACATAACTTGAGAAATATTGTTTCCTTTAACAACGGATGTGGAAGTAATCTAGATGAAAAGAAAATCGTGCCTCATTTTCATGAAAGGACTTGATATCCTCTCCAAATGCCAAATCATCTTCGATATTACATTCGGTGCAATTAAGATGTTACGAATTTTTTATGATATTGACTTTTTCCTAAATTACAAAACAAATTTTCATTATTTTTGACTGAAACAGAATATTAGAAATTAGCATTCCTAACAGAACGAAAACGAGAGAAGAGAGAGTAAAAACTTCAATAACATCCAATTCGAAGTATTAAGAAATCTCCAGAGATCAAGGGAGACACTTAAGCTAGAGAATCAGAACTGTTATATTGGAACAACCAATTAAGTGTTTCTACAAAAGACAACGACAATTGGTGTCAAGTGAGTGCGAAACAGACTTTGCAAAGATTCTCTGTTCCTAAGTATGTTCTAATTTATTACTTAATACATTTTTTAATTTTTAACATAAACATAAAACACTGCACACCCAAAACACGATTCAAAAATACACAAATTTTATTACTTGAATTTATGATTGACTTTCAGGAGCTTTTACTTTTTATTTGCGGTTTTATCGCAAATAATAAAATTGTATTGGCCATTTCTTTTGTCATTTTATTACATACTTCTCTAGAGCTTGTATCTGGATTCCATCAGACACTAGGATATTATTACTTTTACGACTCCTAGCTGCAATTAAAAATTTCTCTTTCATCACGAACTAACATTGTTCGATGGTACACTGATTGAAACGACAAAAAATGCAATTTTCGACACAAATTCGGCTTTATTTAAACATGATTTTTCCGATATAACTACAGTATTGTCAAATACTCACAAAACAATTGGATTTTAATTTTGAAAAAGCGGCGTGGTAGAAATTGTGTGTGCTTAATTAAGAACCGTTGATTTGTTTTTAATCCTAAATAAATAAAATTTGTTGCATCAGTAGTCAAATTAGTTAAAAAATAATAATTCCATAAAAAAATCTTTTTATTAACTAAATCGACTCAAGGTTTACACTGATCAATCAAGTTTTAATTAATAGTAAAATAACACATTATAGAGTCGACTTTCAGGCTTTGACTTTAAAAGCCAATTTGTTATTTTTACATTATAACACTGCGGTTTTGAAGAATTTACCACGGAGTTGAATCTAATTTTTTTACTGTTTACTTTAAACTGTACCGGAATGTATAAGTTGGTAAACTCAAAAATAATCCTCCAAAAAAATTAATTTGAGAGGAAATTCCATGTTCTAATAAAAAATCAAGAATATACCAACTACACATAAACATAAAAAAACGAACAAATGTTTCTTCTTTAGTAGACCCATTAGGTTTAGGTAAAGAAAGGAATATAAATCTCTTACAGTTGCGTTAAAATGTTTATGTGTTCCTTTAGTGCTGATGCGCTCAAAAAGTTACCGGTTGGAGTTTATTAACAAAACTTTAATTAATTCATTTTTATTTTATAGTGATTTAAGTAATTTATAAATTGTAAAAAATCATTAACGTAACAATAGATGCTTATTCAAATTTAATTTGTATGTCTTCATCCAGAGCACATAGCCTTACATGTTTCCCAGCTAAGTTAAATTGCTGAAACCCCATGCAATTCAATCCAATTCAAAAGTTTGATTAATTCAGCCAATGCAACTACTAAATAAACAACAGCTTGAATTTTGAATTCAGTTACCTAACGAGTTGAGTTGTGTTAAGAGCTTGATGGATATGTTTGTAAGTAGTTAAAGATACAACCGGAATTTTTTCGAATTTTGTGATGAATAAACCGAAATGAAATTTGGTTTAGTTTGTATGTAACAAAAGAATTGTTATTATATTGCGTAAAAATTGACCCGTTTCTTGCTATACAACAGCATATGACCCTATCTAACAAACGTCAGGTGATAAAGCCGAAACAATTTGTCACCCTTATCAAAGGTGTCACAAAACAAAAAGCGAAAGGGTGTTTTTGTTGAAATAAAATAATGTGAACTGTTGCAAGTACCACATAGGGTTGCATAATTTTAAATGAAATGAACAAGTTTGGTTAAAAACCAGCCCTCAGTAAATTTATGTGATTACCTTTATTCTACTTAAATAATTTTGAATCAATTTGCATTATGTATGCCTGGAATCTATGATGCAGAATTTATCATCATTATTTGATAATTATGCTTCAAATCCACATTAGTAGATTATTACTACTAAATAATAGAGACAAGTCCTAATACAATTTGAAAATGTTAACACTAATAGGAACTAATAATGGCTATGACAACTTGTTTAGTTAAAACATATTTGACTTATTTTTAATGTGACATTATATTTAATGTATGTTTATTGTCAATTAAGTTAATTAAAAAAGAAATATTATAGATTAAAAGTATTTATTTTTTTCAAATTCCGCGCTTTACTGGTACCAATACCGCTCATGTAAATCGTAAAATAACTGTTGACGTCAGAAACGTCAAAATGTTGATAATGTCGTAAAGTTAAATAACTTTATTTACTAATAATTAACATTGGTGCATTAAGTCATGCATTTATTGATATAGTAGACGTTAAAAATGGTTAGTATATGAAATCTTGTAGCTGTTCTGACACGACTAATCCAACTTACACTTACATAACCTCACTTCAGGAAAAATTATTTTTTTGAATACTTTCTTTATAAAATAATATTTCTGTTTGTTTTCTAAGGAACGTAACGAGAATGAATCCCTGATTGCGTTGGAATACCTACTGGATGAATTTTTTAACCCTATGACAAGTAATTCAAGAAAACATGAAATTGAACAGCAACTCAGTTCATTTAAATACTTACCCCAATCACGGAAATTGTGTTTGTACTTTCTTACAAATACATCTAGTCAATATGTGACTATGTTTGCCTTATCGACATTAGAGGTATGAAGAAATTATACATTTAATGCTTTTGGTTAAATTGCAATTTTAGTCTGTGATTAATCAACAGTGGGCAAATACTGATTGGCCTTTTCGTGAAGAACTTAAAAACATACTGCACAATTATTTAATAGAGAAAGGAAACAACGCACCCCATTTTATAAGAAGCAAATATGCGAAATTGTTAGTAATTATAGCAAAACAAGACTGGCCATCACAATATCCCAATTTTTTTATTAACATTATTGAGGTACAGCAACTATGTTTTAAAACAACTCAATTGAGACAATATTTTAGTTATTGAAGTCTGAACCAAATCAATTGATTGGTTTAATATTACTAAGAACGACAAGTGAAGAGTTGATGGGGCTACAAGCCTCATTTGAAAATGGTAGAAAAGACGAAATTACAAGACTGCTTCATCAGTACATTCCCGTGGTTTTTGAGTCACTAAACACGATTCTTGAAAATTTAGGTATTTTAAATGAATCTTTTAAACTGTTTTGTTTAATTTTAATTATGTAGGCACTAAACCTAGACACACAGCTACTGCGACTCCCCCACCGTCCCCCACACACCCAACATCCACTCCAAGTTTCCCCCAACAACTGGCAACAGCGACATTCAAACCCGACAGCAAAGCTTTAAATAAAGAAGCCCTGGAGACAGTACAACACTTATTTACTTGGGTTCAAATTAACCAAATTCCTCCATCAATTATTAAAGCCATTTTTCACTTCACCAACATATCTAGCTATGCTCAAGTAAGTATTGGGAATAAAAAAACAATACTACAGTTTCGACTAGAATTTAATTATAATCAAATTAAACCTGCGTAAGCTTGATTAAGCCGTTCAGGACTTACTAAAACAAGCTCAAAAGATTCAAACGTTTGAAACCTCTTTATGTCTGCGTCATTTCGTACTCGTGTCGAGGGCAATTTGCGAATTTTTTCCACGTAATCTGTTGACGGAATGTGAAATTCGTAACAACAAAATTTTAAAAAGTCGTGGTATGTTGATATCTGATCGGCTGAAATTTCAACTTCGATGAAATCTTTGTCGGGAAGGTCGGCAACACGTAATTTGAAAATGTGGTATCCTAAAAGATTTGTTTTGTTTAAATATTTGGCAAATTATTACATCTACCTGGCGGTGGTTGATATCTATGGCTAATCTGATCCATCCTTGATGACTTTAATTTTTAATTTGAGAAACATGGAACTCAAAAAATAAATAACAATCTACGATGAGACTGCCACAGGTTTGAAAATGATCTTTCTTAAATCGATAACTTTATCTGCTTGTTTTTGTTCAAACGCAAACAAAAATAAATATATTCGACGATAATGTATTGTTAAATATTTTCTTTTGAAAATTGATCGAACTAATGTTATTTAGCGCCTATTACTGATGATTAAAAAATTGAATTTAAATTTTTTAGTAACAGGAATACCTGTTTTAGGACGACCACGACATGTGCGTATTGGCAATGTCGACAATCAACGAACTCCTCTACCGAAAATGCACTCCTCCCGGAAGCCAGGAATTTTTTACACAGCTTTATTACTACACGATCGAATTATTACGCGATATAACGAACAGTCGACTCGACAATTTAGATCCAATGTACGTGTTTCAATCAGTGTTCACAAATTTTTAATCAAGATATTTTAGTTTCGTCGAAAAAATGTCCGAATTATTAATCCTACTAGTCGAACAACACTTATGGCGGCTAGAAGCCGAACCTCGTTTCTCAGCTTTGGATTTTTTATCACTGCTTTATCAATTAACCGTTCAACTGCCATCAATGCAATGTTATCTCAGATGTCTCAATGTGTGGGCGGCTTTTTTCAAACAAACCAAATCGCAGAAGAATCAAAAGTATTTGGAGGCTTTTGTAGCTCTACTTACGGCACTTTTGCAAAAAATTCAATTTGCAACTAATGCTAGTCAACTTAAAGAAATTGATAATGTGGACACGAACGCTGACGTAGGTGTTTGTGATTGTTGGCCAGTTTGTAACGACTTGTTTTAGAATGAGACGGATTGGCAGATTTTTTTGAAAAGTTCGATTGAAATCGTTTCAATGGTCGCGGAGTATGCGCCTCTTGAAACCCTCAATCTTATTGTAAGTTGCTTTTTTGTAAATTTGTAATTTATGGTTGTTTTAAGCTCATTCCGTGGAAAAGCTGTTACGATATTTACCGGCGGATTGAGACAATTGTAGACCACCAAAACTGTTCCTTAAATTGTGAATTATCAGAGAGCGAAAGACTGTCTCATATCATCACCGATTTTTCATCTCTAACTCAGACTTTAGCTAGATTGTCCCCTCTATTCTTTGATCAAGGTTTGAGTCACGTTTCATTTCATTTGATTAGTACTAATCGATTGTAGAAAACGAGGAAATTACAAACGTCTCATCACCTATGATAAATAATTTGGTAGAAAAACTCCTGGAAAGTGCCTCACTTGCAACTTCCGTTAGATTTTACAACCTTAAAACTAATAATTCGCGCCTTACTGACTGTTTCATTGATAAGTAAAGTGTGACAAATCTGTTATATCTCTCGTGATTGGTGTTATTTCCAGCCATAGTCAGCTTCTCGCCGCCTTGAAAACGTACATAATTTGGATAACCCGCAACGACAAGGTGGCAATCGAAAACCTGAAACTAATAGTCGACATCACCCTCCCAGTCATCCACACTTCCGTTCCTCTAAAAATCAGCAATTCATCAGCTCACCTCTTCCTCGCCCTCTCGAATCTTCCTTGCTCTCCTAATCTAATCCTCTTGCCCGACGTGTCTCACTTCATAAACGCGGCTCCTAATTTCAAATTCAGAGACATCGAAACGAATTTCGTCACCTGCAGTGCCATTACGAACTTATTGTTAAAACCGTGGCCTGATTGTTCGCAAGAAAACGCCAATCATAGGAGCGCCCTCACTGGGGTTTTCTTCGACGGCCTGACTTGGGCTTTCAGAGATTTGGCGTTGGCAACCGATGAACAGCGAGTGAGACAAGTGACAGAGGACGTCCTCCCTATTGTGTCCCACATCGTTGATTTCTGTAAGGACTTCCCAATCGCCTCAAAAAGGCGACTTTTTCTTGCGCTTAAAACAACAATTGAGCAATCGATCATTCTATTCCCTGCGTTTGCGAAACACTCCGAGATCAGTAACTGTATTTTAGCTTTTTTCTTGAACGTTTTGAGGGTTTTGCAACAACAGTTGGGGGTGGAAGGGACGAAAAATGCTGTTCAAGTTTTCTTAGAAGTTGCGGTCAAGTGAGTTTTCCTGGCTGAATACACTTTTCCTTGATTTTGGGTTTTTTAGAGAGCAAGAAGCTGGGAATTTTCTCGACAAATTGCTACAGATTTTCCAGCTTGTGGTGGAAGCCCCCGGTTCAGGGTATAAAATTTTTTTGCCGGGGATTCTCCAGCTGTGTATGGATAACGTCTATCCCTTTATTTTAGCACATGGGTCGGAAAAACCCGATGCTTTTATGTCCTTTTTGACTCTATTACACAGGTAAATTGTGATTTGTTAAAATGGTAACGTTAAGGTTTTTGTTTCAGTATCTTGCTCCATAGATGGCAGTACTTTTACAGTTCGCAGGTTAGGTTAGGTTATTCTCCTGTTTACACGGAAACCGAGAATGACGCTCCAGAACCTGTGCAATTAATGGCTGTGTTGCAAGTATTCGGACAAGCACTGCTGCAACAAGATATCAATATTTTTAAATTGAGTTTAGCTTCTTTAGAAGATCTCAATTCCAAGTGGAAATTGTATTTAAATGTTTTGTTTAGATATAACGGCCTGTCGAAGTACTTGTCAGTTTTGTTTCAAACTTTAATCGACAAATCTCAGAGTTTGTTGTCTGAAGACATACAAATTGCCATTTATAATATGGCGGCTGTTAATTTCGACCATTTTTTTTCGACATTCCTTCCGGATTTTATTAGAAGTATTGATGCTATTACAGATCGACAAAGGGAAGTTTTAATGACAAATTTTATGCAAAACCATGATAAGGTCAGTTTGTGTTTATCTCATCATTTGAAATTATTTCAATTTTGCAGGACATGCCCACTTTTGTGCAACATTTACGGATTTTTGTGAATGACGCCCAACATTTTAAGTTGTGCGGTTTGTCCTAAACTGTTTACATATTCTTGTAAATGCTCAAAGTGTATTAATTTAAGTAAATAAATTTGTTAAATTTGTAATAAAGTGCATAACTTATGACATGTATAACGGTTTTTAATTATTGTTCTCAGTTAACCTTGGACTCCTGAATGCAGTGAGTGCTTCCGCACTTTGATTTTTTAGCTTGTTACTCGCAAACAGACAACTTGAGAGGTCTTATCGTATCAAAAAGAAAGAATACTAAATCAATAATATTAAAAATTTAATTATTTATCAACCACTTTTATCAACAGATGTGCTGTTATATAAATGCGAATTACAAAATGAATTAATCACAGTTTGTCAAGTTTATATTTGAAAATGATCTACTTTCTCCTTTTCCTAATTTCTACAGTGTTTATTATCAGTGTTTTTGTAAAAATTTATTTAAAGTTAATTGCGGGTTGGTGCAAATGTAAAACTTGTTTAGTCGGAAAAACTGTAATTGTGACTGGACCTACGTCAGGTAATTATTATCTTATTGACAAGTAAAAAAATATAATGTGAATATTATTGCATTTAGGAATGGGTTATGAGACGGCTTTGGATTTTGCACAAAGAGGATCTCGTGTTATCTTAGGTTGTTTAGATAAAAATGAAGGTGAAGAAACAAAATTAAAAATAATTAATGAGACTGGAAATATGAATATTATTGTTAAACCACTTGATATGGCTTCGTTTGATTCAGTTCGAACCTTTGCTAAGGATGTTATCGCTTCTGAGGACCATTTAAACATTTTAGTAAATAATGCAGGGGTGGCAGGAATCGGGGACAGAGTAACAAACGACGGTCATTTATACACAATGCAAGTCAATTATTTCTCGGCTTTCCTCCTAACGAATTTATTAATAGGTTGGTACTTACATTTTATTATTTCAGTGTGCAAATATTTTTCCGGTTTTCTGTTAGGGTTGTTGAAAAAAACTGAAAACAGTCGCATCGTCAACGTATCTTCTTTAGTGGCAAAATACGAATATGATTTAGATTTGACAAAACTGGACGAATATCCAGGGACTTACCAGAAAGTATACAGCCGATCCAAACTATGTCTTCTGTTGTTTACAATAGAACTGGCGAAAAAATTACAAAGTACAACTGTTACTACCTATTCGATACATCCAGGTGTCGTAAGCACTCACTTGTTCGAAAATGTCCACGGTTTGGGTAAATACCTAGTAGCCTTAGGGCGAGTTTTCTTTAAGGTTGGTGTAGATGTGTGAAATGTTTGATCAAAATTGTGGTGTTTTTAAGACGTGTGAAGAAGGGGCTCAAACTATTATCCATTGTGCTGTTAGGAATGGGATTGAGAAAGACAATGGGGAGCATTTTGTGGATTGTAAAAAAGTACCACGTTATGAGACAGCCAAGAATGGAAGTCTGATGGAGAAATTGTGGGCTGTTACAGAAGAAATTGTTCAGTTACGACCTGAGGAGGTTTCAATTTAAATGTTACAATTTTTGGATCAGAAATGTTTTTATTTGCGAAAGAATAGTGTGAATTTTTAAACTGTTCCTATTTTTACAATTGATTCACATTTAATATTCTACATGAATCAAATCTTCAATTTTTATTTTCGTTTTTATAAAAAGACAATGGAATAGGGTAATAATAGAGAAGTTTTTAAAAGCTTTTCATAAAGTGCGCGTTACGTAATATGCAGATAACATGTTTGTAAACGAATGAAAATATTTCTGTAACGTAAGAGGATTCTAAAAGAAACATAGTTGCTTCTCAAACTCTAATAATTTTATTAAGTCACAGTAAATATACATAACAGAATATATTCTATTATATTAATACTTAATAAATATAATTTTTTCCTATCTACAATAAAATAGAATAGAATCAATATAGAAGTTTGAAAATACATACAGTGAATTAGTCCATCTTGATTTCTCGAAAGAACTATCGTGACAAAAAAAAAATTTGGTAAACTGAGAAGTTTTCGATTGATATGTGTTTTTACTTATTTTTATAAGTTGGTTCATCAAAAAAACGCTTATTGCGAGATAAATTCGAAACATAATTTGTTGATTTTTCCAAATCCAGCCTCTAAGGAAAAACCATAAAGCCGTAGGTATCAATTTGATGAAGCCAAAAATATGCAAAAATAAAGTATCCTGGAATTCGGCTTCGTCCAATTGATAAATTTGAACTCACTCTCCACTTTATACAACAATTTACTTATAAATTAAATACAATTAAAAACTTGAAATCCAGCAACTTTTGTGGAACATTTTGTAATATTGACAAATATTTCTATTTTATGCTAGGTTTGCTGACTAGAATCTGACGACTAGAAGTTGGTTTGAACCTGCAATAACTGAGTTAAACTCAATCACAACAATTTTCCCAACTTACTTAAAAATTATTCACTTTTGGGTTTGGCTGTACTGGCCCACTTCATTGTTTCCGTTCCAAATATCACTCTCCCCATCATTTTCAGTCAGAAGCAGCATCAGCTGATTTAAATCCAGCTCTTGCCCTAAGGTGCTTAAATCCACGTTGTTGTAATAGTCGCTGTCTGGGCCGTCGCTCGCTTTTTTCCCCCTAACCCCTACGAATTTTCCCCGGAATTGGTACGGGTATTTTTTTCCTCGCATCCCGAAAAATCCCGATTGTCGGGGCATTTTCTTCCCTCGCATCCCGAAGAATCCAGAAGGGGCTCTCTTGTCTTCCGCGATTTCGTCGTAGTCTTTCTTGCCTCGCATTCCTACAAAACCCATGGGGGCCCTCTTGTCGTACAGGCTGGATAAACTCTCGTATTCTTTTTTACCCCTCATCCCCATGAAGCCCGACGGGGCCCGCTTGATGTATTCATCTGTTGGTAAAACAACAGAATTCCAAAAAGATCAATATTTGACTTGAGTTGATTTGCGAACAGTTTAAGGAAATGTGTTGGTGAAGAGAATAGGGAGGAACGATAAGAAACAAACCGTTGTTTGAAATTTTGTTTAATTATAGGAAAAAAACAATATACAGGCTGAATAATTAATGATGGCTATAAGCTCTGTTTCACCCTGTATATGTCAGAATTCCGTTTTATTTTTACCGTAATTGGCGAACTCCATGTCCTTCTTGCCTCTCATTCCCATAAATCCTGAAGGCGCTCTCTTGAACACCTCATCCGGATAAGTTCCTTCCCAGAGCGAAAACGGCTTTTTGCCCCTCATCCCCATAAAGCCCGAAGGCGCTCTCTTGTCGACTGCTCCTACATCGGAAACGATGTCGACAGCCTTAAGTTCTGGTGTAGAGTCGCTTTCGGAATTACCGGTCGAGTACGCTGAATCCGGTATGGACTTCTTCCCTCGGACACCGGTGAAACCCGAAGGAGCTCTTTTGTGGTGGTCTTCCGCTGCGCAAACTACGTATATTGTTGCTAAAACCACAGCGGTGGTTATCGTCGTTGAATGCATCGTTAATCTGCAATCAAAAGCCGAGTTTTACGTTTCAACGGATTTACAATATTTGCTTTAATTGGCTAATGACTGTAATAATTAGAGATCAAGAAGAGTAAATATTTGTTGTGTGCTTAAATTTTTATTAAAAATATTTTTAAAAAGTGTGCAAGTTTAGATTTTTGAAGCCTTCGTATCGAGAGTATTAACACATATTCTCTAAATGTCAAAGTCAATTAAACACTCATAATTCTCTGTCAGGAATAGGTGTTAGCTATAATTATTATAGTCTATAATATGGTTTTTGCCTATTGAAGTATTAGCTACAAATGTATTTCCAATAGTGTCTGTAAAAATTCATTGATGGAAATGCGAAACCCCTCAGTTTTACGTTATAATTAGAGGATTTTGTATTATCTTAAATAGAATATGAACTAAAAAAATACCGTGCGATCAAAAAAAATTAAATTAGAGTAGGCGATGATTAATTTCTTTGTCCAAATGTCAGCGGAAACTTTGACAAGTTTATTCATTTTGAGTGAAATAATGTTCACTTTAGAACAGAAAATTTTTATTGTTGCAATTTATTACAAAAATGCTGTACGAGACGAAAACAGTGAATGATCATTTTCACTTTCAGTTTGTGTCGATAATTTCCAGCCCAAATTCCCAGCCAATTTTTTTTTTGATCGCACGGTATTTAATTCTACAGATAAACTCTGATTTAGTTGAAATTACCAAATCACAAAAAGATAAAAACGTTTGGTTGACGAAATATTTGTTAACATACCAAAAATAAAACAAAAAGTATGAAACCAAACGTTTTTTGCTTAAACTATTTATTTTTTGGTAAAGCTAATTGATAAATGATAAAGTAGTACTATAAAAATGTGATGTTTTGTCAAGAATAAAATTTTTCGAAATTTTTAATTTTTTTCATGAAGGTTATGATCTAAGGATTACAACTATCTAGTTTATACATATTTAATTTTTTCAAAAAAAAATACATAAATAGCAAAACAAAATCTCGTTTTCAAAATACGATTACATTTTTAATATTACTTTAATTTATAACAATTATTATTTTCTGGAGGCAAATGATTTTAAAAAAACGATTTGTTCTATACTTTAAATTCACTCTGTAGACACCAAAAGCCAAACAAAATTGAATTTTTAATTTGTTGGCTATTTTATCAATTAGCTGAATAGTAGAAACTCTTTGTATAATAAAATGTAATGTTTGTAGTGAGAAGTATAATCGATAAAGTAACAATAAATTTATTATTTATTCTATGAATCATCATTATTGTGATAAAGTCATCAAAAACTTCTCCATTATTGTAAATTCACCGAGATATCATAAAACCTAAGATATTTTTAAATTACTGATACGAGTTAGCTAAAGGAAAACCATTTTTTTCATTAAGTGGTCATTTTTGTTAAACAACAATAAAACATTCTGCGGTTTTAAATATGTTTTAAGCATTTAATTATAAGTAAGCATTAAGAAATAAATAAAATTGATTAGATTATTAAGATTAAGGGTAAAATACATTTACAATAAAATGCATCAAAGATGAAGATGCATTTTTCAATTTGTTATGGCATAATCGAGTTGTTTTACAAGTATAGATCAAACGCGTTGTTCCCGAGTTTAACTCGCAAATCGATCAAAGCAAATGGCTAATCAAACATTTAAATCTTGAGAGCTGAATTTGCATAATAGTTTTACATGCACTTGTATTATGCAAGCTTGCGTTTCAGAATTATTTCCAAGAAGTTCTATTCTTACGAAAGATCGTTATGTAAAAGTAAAATTAAATTATCTCGGCGCATCCACCATTTTGAATGAAACTGACCATAATAATAATAATCCTTAAAACTTAATCTAACGACGATATTGAATTGCACAGCAAGGATTTCAGGAGTCGAATAAACTGGAAACGTGATCCAAGCGGTATAATATGTAAAATAAGCCTGAAAAGTGAACAAAACTCGAAAGGCCTCCGGCCTCGATTAATTGTTAACATCTCCAACCTGGCCGATTCTTGCAAACAAGTACTAAAAAATGCGCATAGAGATAGCGTGACTAATTTATGATAAACGGTGCAAAAAAGAAATTTCAGGAGATATGCCCCCTTTGAAATAATAAACTTATTGCCGCAATGTCGCTTTTATGAGCTAGGGACCTTCTTGAAAGAGGGTTAAGTTAAGTAATATAGGCAAGGTTGGTAATTAACCACTTGGGGTTACTTTACTTTGCTCTGAAACGGCTAAAAGCCAAGAGAACAAAAATTACAATAGCAAGACTATTTCTGCAGGTTAAAACATTCCCATTATTGCAGTGGTTTCGTTTAAGGAAAAAGGTAAAAACGAAATAATCACAAACACAAACGTTTACTTTAGTTTTATTTAGTTCAAGTAAAATTTATGAAATCATCTACTTCAAATCTGTTTGGTCAGAATTAAATAAAATTTATGCTTTTCATTTGTAGTAATTTTGAGGAGTAAGTAGGTGGAAAAATAATATTTAGAGTTCTAGGTTACTAATGCAATTGTTTGATATAATATATGCTTTTAGTTGGAAAATGACATTATTTGTTTTAATATGTGCTCTTTACTTTATACTTTTATAAACAATTAGCCTAGAAAAATTCTGAACAAACATTTCTTGAAAAGATTTTAAATATTTAGATATAAAATAATTTAGTTTGTTTCCGCAAGTGGAAGAAATTTAAATAGTGTCCAAAGTTTTGAGGCACTGTGGAAAGTTTTAGGTAACCGTAATCTGGCACTGTATTAAGTTTAATATAGGGGCTTATGTGGTTTAAAAATTAGAAACAATTTTTTTGTTTTTGCTGCAACAAAACAATCATTGCCGATTACAGCAGACAAAGAATTCAGAGTCATTATATGCTCAACCGAACTTAGCAAAGTTCAGTCGTAATTATATGACTCTTTTGTGTCACCACAGTAGTAAAATTTAAGATGCGGAGGTAAAAACGGTGAAAATATTCAAATGGTTATAAATCCTGCTAGAGGTGGAATAGATGGCGTCGCGACTAGTTTTTACTTTTATTATCTCATGAAATTTGTAATCCTGGTTGTATTTATTTGGCACATTTATGAGTGTAGTTTCCTGACCTTATTTCATTAACGGAAGGGTCTGAATAACTCACTACAACCGCAAAACGGAAAGTTATTCTTTCGGAGAGAGCTGTATTGTAGAAGCTTTTAACAACAAGCGAAGTTGTGAGCAAGTATAGTAGTCAGGTGACCCTTAACTAAGTTTATAGTTAGTAGTTTAGTGGAGTCGACGGGGAATATCGTTGCATAGTAGAAATCACAATTTTTCTTATTATGAATTGCAAAGTAAAGCTTATTTTGAAAGTTGTATGAAAGCTTTCCACTTTAAAATCACTGTGTCAGATTATTCGAAAATAACAAAGTTACCATTAAACATAAGCTGGCTGAAATATATTATTTCTCATTGTTCAACTATATGTTTTTGATATTTCTGAAGAATAATTAGAAGTTTTAATCAAGTTTTATATCAAATTATAAGCTACAATGTCGTGCTTTATAAAAATGAAATAAGGTAATTGAAAACTTGATGGCCACTATTTGGTCACAGATTAGCGCAGATAGAGCTATTAACTTTTGATCTGAAGAGTAAACGCCCCATTTAAGTTATTGGGCCGTCAGTGATGATCTCGCCATCTGGAACGTTCAACTCTTCCATAAATAATCTACAGCAAAGTGTGTATGAAAAGTTTGACAGCGACATAAAACTCGACAACTCAGCTGTCTATTCATTTTAAAAAACCCTTAAACTTTCGCGTGTTTCTAAATAAAACCCGTAGCGTGCGTTTGAAAAATATTTTTTGAATTCTAAAGATTTAGATAGGACAAAGTAACCGCAGGTGACGTAGCGGGCAAAAATCGAGTTTTTCTTTTTATCGACGCTTTATTTAAATTTTGCCTTATAATGCGCAAGAGGCAGCACGTGCACTAGTGAAACTGCGGTATGTTTGACTTTATGAATCACAAGCACACATTTAAAAACATAATAAAGGAGTTTACTTGACTCGTTAAGCGTTAAAAGCTTCATTAAATAGCTGAAATGAGAGGTTATTTTTCGCCAGAGGACCACAAAGAGTGAACAGGTTCTCATGAAATATGCACAAGGATCTGCAATAGTTTTTGCTATGCAGATGCCGTTTACGACAATTTTTATGCCATGTTTAAGCTGAAAAAGAGCAATTTTCCGCTTATGTTTATTTAATAAGTCTCTTTTCGTTAAAAAAAATCGGTTTCACCACTTTTGAGTATATACGCTCTTGCGTGTTTCAAGTGTCGGAACAGTCACGGAATCATATGAAAACCGAGATGGGTTTCTTTTGTTTGAAATGTGCGTTTTTCTTATTGTTGTATGTTATTACAACTGGAATTGTCGATTGAAACCAAGGGCAACAACCCAATATTTGTTTCTTTATGGAATTAATTTTTATAGTTTGCAAACTTTTTTTTAATGTCTTATAATAAGAATTGTTTATTTAATTGTGCACACACAAATTTAACTAAAAATAAATTACCTCTGATTATTTTGTTTAAATAAATAAATGCAGTTATTAATTAGCGACAATGATCAGTAAATAAACAACGAGCAAAATTGCTAACCGTTAATATTTAATGTAAATAAACATATTTTCAGAAGGAAAATTAAACTGCGTGGGTAATTTGGTAAACTAAAAATACTAAAATATAATCATGATATAATTACATAAATTATATCAAGTGAATAACAAGTATGGAACCAAACGTTTTTTACTTAAACTTATTATTTCTTAGAAAAACTAATTAATGACTAATAAAGTACTATAAAAATATTTTTTTAAATGGCAACCTACTATGAAATGATTTTACTCATATAGGTTATGATCTAAAGATTACAACTATCTACTTTATATTTAATTAAAAACAAATTACATAAATGCAATTTTTACAAAAAAAATCGCATACCTCAAAATCAAAACAAAATTTCCTTCTCAAGATACGATCACATTTTTTTATATTACTTTAATTTATGTTAATCATTGTTTTCTAAAAGCAAATGATTTAAAAAACCTCTTGGTTCGATATTTTATATTTACCCTGTATAAATATAATTTAAAATGTTTAAAACTTTCATTTGTTTGGTCTAGGCATTATCTCTAATAAATATTTTATCCAATTACATTTTTTGCTCCACTGCTTTAAATATTAATTTCAGCATTAAGCTAAATGTTTATTTTAAATGCTTTAATTTTAATAAGACGTAAATATTTTATTGATTCATCAAAAGTATTTTAAACAAACATAATTTTTTAATGTAAATAATAACGATTGGTTTTATATAAACACCTAAAATTATTTAATGCAACAATTAATCACACATAAATTTTTAACAGTACAACCACAGTAACTAATGCTACAAGAATATAAGAGTTAAATGCATAAAAGAAAAGAACAAAATGCATAAATATTGGATACGGATAGGAACAAAAACTTGGCAACTGATTTAAAAATCAAAATTATAAATTTTTGCAAAACTTGTTTAAAAGCTTTTCACTTTTTACATTTAATTGTTTATTAACAAAACCGTGCTTCATTTGTGACTATTTTCAAACGCAACGTTTTAATTGCAAGGAATTATTACTAACCAGGAATACAAGATAACAATTAATTAATATGAAAATTTCCTACTCGCAGAAATAATCAAATTTCACTTTATGTTTTGTATATTTTTAAAATTATTTTCGTTTTTGTATAAGTACTTGACATTCTCAAAAGATTAAACTACGTGTAATACTTTAGAAATTTTCCGCCAAAGCCGACAAACTTCCCAACAATAACGCAAACTCAAGATTGTTATGAATATCACCCTTGTGCTTTCATCAAGCTGACACTTTCCCGTCTTAAAAAAAATCGGGAAAAGATGTTAAGTTGAGGCGGTGTCGAAGTTCGCTTTAATTACGAACTCATAACTCAATTTCGTATGAAAATTGGTGGATGCGCCGGGGGAAATTATGTTTATTTTTATTAAGCATTTATCTCCGAGTTGCTCGAACCATTATTTCGTGTTTGTTTATCTTAATAAACCAACAACAGCGAATTTTTCTCTCACTGACGAAAACCGACAATCCACTTCACTATCTTTGCTCGACAGACCGAGTGAATTGAATAAATGGCACGATAACAGACGACTACAATTCCTTACAAATCCATTTACACCTGTTTCGTTTCTTAAGGACAATGTACGGTATCTCTTTGTTCGGTTTGCTTTTGCCCAAATTACATACGACAAAATTAATGTCGATTATTAACTCAATCTCTTGTAATTGTAATAACACCGAACCAGAGCTGTTAATTATCTGCAAGTTATCTTCTACCTATATTTAATTAGGCACTATTATTAGTCTAATAATTCGGTTATTGACATAAATCGTAAAAGGAATATGATGAATATCTGACTCATTTTCAGCTGTCAATAAACAAGGTAATTACTCATCATTAAAGCACTGTTATGTAAACTTGGGTAAGGGGCTGACAGCCGTCGTAATGACGTTAAAAATTATCTATTTGGTGATGAACATCGATAGAGGGCTGTAAAAGTAAACACTCATAATGATATAATAACATCAAGACATTTCTCATTTTGTTGTAATAATAATAATTTTTATTGAATTCATTTCACTAATTTATTTTATAATGTTAATTATTACTTACCAGTTCTACCTTTGAAGGGCGAGGCTTCTTTGTGTTTAGTACTTTACCAGTCTAAAAAATCAATTTTTCTTGTATCTGCAACAGAATAAAAATGACAAACAACATCCTAAAATTTAATTTTCTATGTACTAAAAAAATATATCTTATTTTATTTACATATATTTTGCGATTTCATTGTAGTTGCTATATAGCTTTAACAATAAGCACTCAATCTTTTGGTTTAGCGAGTGCGAGATTTAAGGAATGTGTTTGCTGCTTTATAAAAAACCGAAACAACATCATCTAAGTAATTAAGTTGCGAAATTAGCGGAGAAGCGTGACAGCATTGCCAATTTCTCAACTTGATCAACCCCAACAAGTCTCTGGCTGAGGATTGCAAATTACCAACTCGAATTGCCATTTCCCGAATTGCTCCAAGCTGTCTAACCGTTCTTAGATTAGGACTTATTCATAAACACTTTAAATCTAACGTGCGAATTTGTCACGCGTTTAATGAGCACAGACTCAATAATGAAGCCAACAAAGCAACTAAAATTTACATACCTTGAGACCAAGAGAGGTAGAAGTCATTTTTATCACTTGATTGATCCATGTAGTTACATTAGGTGTCGTAACGAGAAATTGTATAAATACGTTAATAAACTAAGGAAAAACTCTGAAAAGCGGTGTCACATTTTTCTTAAGAACACTCACAAGTGGCACGTTTATAAAAATGAGTTGCAAACTTTGATTAGTTTCATTAAACAGTCCTGTCATAAATTATAATCAAAAGGAGTGAAACAATAATTCTTACATAAAAGTGCTCTGTTAACAAAAATTTCAAAAACAACTCTAATTAACAAAGTATAGAAGCACATGGCTGGAATTTCCTTTGTTGACAAACTTTTATGATTAACTAGATTTAATTCAGTAGTTTCCCAACTTGATTAAAATAAAATCACTTAATTACAAATATTTTTATAGGACTTGTAATTTGTAATCGTGGGTATTGTTCCCCATCCTTTCATTCAATATTCGCCTAGAAGTCAAGCAACTCGACTTAAATTAAATTTTGATGCATTCATCGACCTTTTTTCATACATTCCGCTTTAATAAGACATTTTCCAATCTGTGGAAAACAACCTGAAGCTTGAAGTGCACCTTCCTAATAGGATTTTGTATACGGGCATTAAAAATACATTGCATAACGTGTAACTGTAGATTGTCTTAGAAATTGTTAGAAAAATAAAATCACAAGTGGCAAAAGTTCAATATTTTTAGTCAACATTTTAAGTCTGGTGGTATCCAAACATTTTTTATAATCCTTGAAGAATTATTGTGGACATATATCAAGGAAATGTATGTTCAGCTGGAACTTGCAAGCCGTTTTTAGCAGACAAGCTAGACTAGTAGGAAATTATATATTTCTTAATTGTAATAAAAAAATACTATCGTTGAAAATATTTTCTAGTGATGGACTTGGCGAAAGTTTCAAAACGTCATTGTTGCAAAACTGATAAAAATTTTAATCGAATAGTGAATAATAAAAAGGTAATACAGGTTAAATCTATAAACAGTATATTCACCATAAATAAAGTATAATGCAATATCGATTTCAATTACACTTCCAAAATAAAAGTAAACAGAATGCCTGCTGTAAGTTGTTGTCTCAAACTACGAGCAGTATTAAATATTTTATACTTTAGTTTTAGAAATCTATTTGGCAATGTTGAAACTAAAACCCAGTTATATTGGGAACATTACAATTTGTAAACTAATTATAACAATTTAAACGTAAAATATTCATTTTAGTTAATTAACTTTAATTTTAGAACGTTCTGAAAAGATTTATTAAAAATTATGAGCTAGGTTAATGCAAAACGGCTTTTGCTTGTGTAACAAACTTCAGTGTCTGTTATACAGACTCTTAAAAATTGTAACTTAAAACGCCACGTCCACGGGGAAATAACAGCAAGCAGCTTTTGCTTTTTATTTTTACTACTCTACATTAAAACAATATGTCGAAGTATTGAATTATGAATTAAAGTATTAATTTTTTGGGTGATTTATCACTCAGCTTAAACTTCCATAAATTAAATCCTTGAAAATCTTGCGAAAACATTGCGTTCGTATAAATTACAGTATTTGAAATCCCGCTTATCGATTTACACGTAGATAATCACCGCAAGCAAAATCATTAATAAATTATACAAGCACACCTGATATCTTAAATGCTCACTGAAAGACACATGAGGTTATCTCCTAATTTATGTACCACACATATTCGACATTCCTTTATGAATAATAATTATCCCCGGCATTTACCCCATCAAAAATCTCTTCCCCTCTCTAGATACAATGAGTCTTGATACCATTCGAAGATCCTCGATCTGTTCGTGTCAAGCACAGACTGCTCTTGTAACGACAAATGTTCACTCTAGACATTTCCATTCAACAACCGCCAGTATTCATCACAACTAATGTTGTTTATCAACTCGAACTGATTGGAAGGTGTGCAACCTGCATTTCTAAATTGCCATTTTCCAGTTAAAAAGCCATAAACCGCCATCGATTTCGCGTGTTGAAGTGCGCCACATGTGCTGAGGTGTTTAGCACCTAGCAAATTCGTAACTTTCCTTTTTCGGTTTATTATCATTTTATGGTTATCTCTGAATTTAACATGAACCGCGAGTGCGATGTTGTGGCGGCTAACACAATTGTGAATTTCTGTCATGCAAGATAATACAGGATTCGAACGATCGACCATTGAGAGTTCTACAAAACCAACAGAATTCATTTTAATTCTACGAATAGATTTGCAATTGTATTAAAAGGCTTATTCAACAGATTGTGAAGCACAACATGCATCAAAAGAAATAAATAATCAAAACGTTGTTTGGGCAATTTGGGCATTCAACTCTGAAATGAGTTCGACTCGATTTTATAACCAGTTTTTCCTATGTATAGATAATTAGATTATTTTGAAAAATCAGAAAATAATTCAATTGTGGCATTGTAATTTAAAATGAAAATTGTGTAAAATAAACCCCTTATTATGCAAAATATGTTAAATGATTTGTCTCCGAAAAATATTTTAAAAGAATCCAAAAAAATTGCTTTGTAGAAAACTATACGCTAAATCCATATTGCAGTCAACGATTAATACACTTTTTGTTTAATTTTTACTAAATTCTATAGTTGTTTTTTACTAATGAGACATCGCATTCATAACTGTGTTTTTTTAATTGGTGGATGCGCCAGGATAAGTGGAGTTTTTTTATTAAATGTAAAACAGTTTCTTTATACGTTTTAATTTTTTACAAAGCATATTTTGACCGACTTTTCATATTACTTAATAAAATTGATGGTAACAAAAACATCAGCAAAAACATCAGTTTTTTTATTAAGAAATCTCGTCTAAACCTTATACCCATGTTGAGATAATTGTTAGTCGAAAAGTATCTAAATGTTAATTTTGTAATTTTGTACTCGTGTACTTGTAGTAACACAACACAAGCATCTTTACACTTTCATACCACCGTTGATATTATGAAAGTCCGTGTTTAGTGCAAGATAAGATCAGTTGTGAATATGATTATACTTTATACTTTGCATAGATGCAATGAGGTAAATGTTGCACAAAAAGAAAAAGTAAGTACGTCAGTATATTGTTTACATAATGAGACGTAATTAAAAAAAGAAAAAAATGCGGGCGCCATTAGAATTACCGCTATCGTAAGCAAAAACAGAATCAAACAAAGCAAGACGTAAGATTCTACTGTTTTTATTTGAAATAATACACAAGGGGAACAAAAAGTATTTGCCTTCAGAAAGAAAATTGTAATTTTTAGATCAAAGCTTTTGTTTTATAGTGAGTTGCCATTTGAAAAATTTTATTCTTTATCATTCATCAATTAATTTTTTCAAAAAACGTTTAGTTACATACTTCCTGTTCACCTGGTATAAGATATCACACTTTCAAAATTAGTACTTAAACAATCGCTGAGAAATGCTACTCACAACCGCAGCAAAACCGCATAGCCCATAATACGCTTCTAGGGAGACGCTTACAAACCATGGAATGATCAGTTTTATCCGTACTTTATACTATTTCATTCTCAAAAAACATTTCTACTCAGAGATGAATGTCACGTAATATAAATTGTGTTAGACTTTCCGACAACAATGTTGCATTCTGGAGTTTACTGAACAATACTCATATCTACTTATTCAATTACTTCTAATCGTGTTGTATGTTGCGTTTTATTCAAGCATATGAAATTATTGTCACTAAAATAATTATATTGTAAACACTAAAAATATAGAAAAGCTACGATTTATTTTCCAGAATATTTCATAAAAACATGCAAAGCGTTAGAAGTAGTTGAATTGTGACGGTCAACAGGTGCTTACTACAAAAGCACAGAATATTGATTCGATTATTATTAGAGGAATCAAAGCCTAGCAATAATGGATTTTCCTTTTATAAATAACTTATAAAAAACATTTGAATCAAAATGTCATATAAATTTGTAAAACTTATAACTATAACTTTCTGTACTTAGACCTAATGATTCAAGAAAATGTCAAACGGTATCGAATTCGATTGTATTAAAAATTATACTAAATCAATCTTTACCAAGAATATTATATTTGTGTAATTAATTTCGAAGTCGAATTACGTTATAGTAAGGTGTAAGGCACACTGAGGAAAGGTCTCCGCGTTTAAGTAAATTTTGTCCGGATGGTTGAACCATAAATCAGGTTTTATCAGCACAATTTACAATTATAATCAAATGCCTCATCAATTAAATCAATTAAAACTTCTAGCGTTATCAAATGAAAAGTAATTACAATGTGCAACAAATGCGAAAAATGCCTACAGCTGGTAGTGTTTTTTTAATAATAACTTTTAATATTGAGACCAGAAAAACTTTCCATTTATATAGAAGGAAAATTTTTCTTATAACATTATACCGAGCACTTTGAAACAGTTATTATTTAATAAACAAGCTTAATGATAAAGGTGATTAAAATTTTTCAAATTTAGTAAATTTTATGTATCAATTTTGCAATTGCGATAATGATAAATATTT